TGCCCTCTACTGGTAAATGCAGAGAAAAAAGTGTCTCCAAGGTCATTTCCCAACAATTGTTTTTTAGTGCAATAAATGCACAGCTGTTATCCATTTGTTGCATGTGGTCCAGATATGGGGAAATTGCATTTTCCTAGTTCTGGGTGTCTTATGTTATGTTATCTGGGAACTTGGAATTCTTGTGCTTCTGTCATAAAAATGGTAGCATAATTGTGTCAGGCACTGCTTAGATTGCAACATAAATGGTTCCTTGAGAGACCAATCGTTTAAGGGTGCCAAGGAAGCAGTGCACAGTCCAAAAATTGCAACCCATGATTTGCTGCAGATGGATACAGTGATAGCTACTAGGATAGATGTTTTTAAAGGGGGGTTAGACAGAGCCATGGACCATAGGTACATCAGTGGCTGCTAGCCATGGTGAGTAAAGGGCTCCTAAAAGTCTAGGTGCAGTGAATCGCTGAATGCTAGTGCTAGGAGGTGACATCAGGGGAAGGCCTCAGCCTCTATGCCTGGATTGTCAGCTGTCCAGGGCAAGTGGTTGGCTGTTGTGTGAAACAGGATGCTGGACTGTCTGGACCATTTCTTATGATTCTTTGCAACTAGGATCACCAACCTCCAGGTGGGGCTTGGAGGTCTCCTGGAACCACAACGCATCTCCAGACTACAGAGTTTCTCTAGAGAAAATGGGAGCTTCAGAAGGTGGACTCTAAGGCATTGTACCACTGGTGAGCCCTCTCCCCTCCCCAAGCCCAGTGTTCCCCAGGCTCCGCCCCCAAATCCCAAGGAATTTCACAAGACAGAGTTGGCAACCCTATTTGCCACATCACACAGGGGGGTAAAGCAGAATGCTGTAGCATGCAAGTGAGTACAATATCAATTCAAAACAAAGTTTATTGTGGAACTTGAATGGGCATAAGAACTGCTGCGTCATACTGTAAACCAGACTAGGTCCAGGCCAAATTTCCTCCCTTCTATTTCCTGTTTCCTGTCCTGACATACTGCATCTCCCACCCAGGATCTGTTGCTTATAGGCACTATACTATATCTAAGATCATTCCACACAGATCTTGTTCCAGTCCATTGCCATTCTATGACTGCAAAGCAGCAAGCCACTTATTGATTGTTGTAATGTTTGGTCAACTCTTCTGCCACTACACTCTGCTGCAGAAGCACTCATTTAGCCTGTCCTTAAATGTCAAACATTAGTAAAGTTGTCCTTGCCCTCCACCCCACCCATGCCAACTGGCAAACACAACCAAGGTTATGTTCTCCTGCAAACTTCAGCAAGGCAACTCCTGTGCCCACCAATGCTGCATCCACCGTGTAATTTTATTTAGGTTATCAGAAGGCCACCTTTCCTGTGCTAGATTGTATGTGTTTGTGTTTTCTGCTTTTTATTTTTTTTTTAAAGGGACAACCATCAGTATAGTTATTTTCTATAGTTATTTCCTTCCCCAAGTCCGTCAAGTGTGGACCAAGTAACTCACCATTGTTTGTGAATGGAAGCTTGTGGTACTGTCTCCCAACAGAAATAACATATTCATTTACTTAGGCACTTATATTTCACTTTTCTGCTCAACAGAGACCCAAAGTGACTAACAATATCATCCTCCCCTCTTCCATCTATCATTACAACAACCCTTGTGAGGCAGATTAGGCTGAGTGATAATAACTGGCCACAGGACAGTCAACAAGCTTCCATGGAAGAGTAGGCATCTGAACCTGGGTCTCCCATGTCCTAGTACAGGACTCAGACCACTACACTGCAGTGACATATGGTCACCAGTCTCCTGAGTAAGTCATAGGACTATAATCTCTGGGCTAACTGGGGCCTTTTCATATGAACACAAGAAGCTGCCACTGGTCTGTCAAGGTCAGTATTATCTACTCTGATTGGCAGTGGCTCTCCAGGGTCTTAGGCAGCAATCTTTCCCATCACCTTCAATTTATTTATTTATTTATTTAAATTTCTATCCCGCCCTTCCCACAAGTTGGCTCAGCGTGGGTTACAACATTAGTATAAAACAATAAAATCAAGATTAAAACTATAAACTACCTGAGCTCTTTAACTGGAGGTGCCAGTGTTTGAACATGGGACACTGTGCATCAATGTTCCCTCTAAGCTGTGGAGACTTGTGAGCAAAAATTCTACTTTGTGAGCTACTGGCATTAAAGTTCTGAGCGAGCAATTTGGCTACTGCATTAAGTCAGTGTGCTCTGGAGCCCTCCTTCCTGATCTGAGAAAAAAATCTGTGAGCCAGAGGCTAAAAAACTGTGAGCTAGCTCACACTAACTCAGCTTAGAGGGAACACTGCTGTGCATACACAGCAAATGTTCCAGCACTGAACCATAGTCTCCCACAGAGCAAGGTACTTTGTAATGAGCAGGGGTCGTTTCGTAGAAAAAGAGGTAGGGGAACTCATTAGCATAACTCATTAGCATATGCCAAACCCCCTGACATCACCGGAAGTGTGTCATAAGGCCACACCCCCTGACATCACCAGAAGTGTGTCATAAGGCCACACCCCCTGACATCACCAGAAGTGTGTCATAATGCCATACACCCCGCCCCCAACGGTCCCGGCCGCCGCTGCTGGCCTTGCAGCTCCACTGCCGAGCCCCATGAGGGGCCCAGCGGTGGACCTGAGAGGCCGGTGGGAGTGCGAGGAAGCCCCGCAAAGGCCCTCCCTGGCCCCAGGCAGGCAGGGGTGGGGAGAGGCAGGGAGGAAGCAACTTACCCTCCCTCTTCTCCTGCCTCCTCCTGGCTGAATGAGGGCCGGAAGCGGGGCGGCCAGAAGCAGGGGGCGGGGCTTCGTCATGTGCCCCGCCCCCTGCACCTCACCCAGGGGAACTGCGTTCCCCCGCGTTCCCCCCCGAAATGACCTCTAGTAATGAGTCTTTCTCTGGTGAGGGACATAGAAGTCCAACATATTACATACCCTTAGCCTAGTTTCTATTGTGCATATTTCTGTCTAGCATTATTCAGGTCAGAAAAATTATCCATACAGAAGATGTGTCTTCTGTGTGGCTTCTGCAAGTCTTTGAGGGCTACTAGACACGTTGGCTAGAGTGAAAAATAAATTTTAACAAAGCTGGAAGTGGTTTGAGAAAGGTTTCACACATCGTTATGTATACACACATTTCTTTGCCTTTGTCTATAGTTAAATAGGTTTGGCAGGTTTTGAAAACCATATAAAAACCTGTTAAACCTGCTTACTGAGGGCAGTGTGGGATGCTCTTCCTACTGTGAATAGTGATTTTATCTCATTTTTTTAAATGTTTTTTTTATTTATTTTCAATTTTTAACAATTCTAACACTTCAAACAGTGAACAATTAATCTTCCAATTACATTCACATCCTGTAAATAGTTCCTGAGTATGTACAACGTTATAACATGTTCAAAGAATTACAATACATTACTCATCACACTTCTGAATATGTTTTCAGTAGAAAGATAACAGACTTGGCGTAACTGCATTGACCTCTCTAAAAATATTAATCAGTCTCTAATGTATGGTATAGGGCTTCGGTTTATGCTCATTTATTGGACAGTGTCACTGAAACGGACCTTTAAACACCTTCAGACTGTCATTCACCAAATACTCCTGAGGAAATTTAGGCTATAATCCTATGTCTACTTACTTGGGAGTAACTCTCAGTGAATTCAGTGGGAATTGTTTCTGAGAAAGAAGTATAATTACAGCACAAACAGTTTATATGGAGCTTTGCAGAGTTTCATAAGCAAAGATGGATCCCTGCCCATAAAGAATTTCCAACAAATGTTGATAGTGGAGCAGGCTGGGAATGCAGGGTAAGAGTTGTCAGGAATGACTGCTGTTATAGTTGTGCCTGGTCTTTCAGCAGTGGTAGGAAGTCCTTGCGGATATGTAACTGGTTAAAAAAAAAAAAACCCTCCAGGAAACAGAGATAGAAATAAATTGGCAGTTTTCACAATGGAGGGAAATCAGTAGTGGAATCCCCAAAGGATCTCTATTGAGAGTTGTGCCATTTAGACTGCTTTAAAATACACATGTTTATAGAGCATAGGTCTATGATGATTATTAGCCATGGCATCCAAATGGAACCTCCCCATTGAACAGCAGTGTACCTCAGTGTGTGTGTGTGTGTGTAAAGTGCCATCAAGTTGCTGACAACTTGTGGCAACCCCAGCAAGGGGCTTTCAAAGCAAGTGAGAAGCTGAGGTGGTTTGCCATTGCCTTCCTTTGTAGTTTTCCTTGGTGGTCTCCCATCCAAATACTGACCCTGCTTAGATTCTGAGATCTGACAAGATTGGGCTATACCATGCTGCCATAGGACATATAAATGGAACCTCCCTGTTCAGTGGCAGTATACCTCTGAGTACCAAATGTTGGAGATTTTTAAAAAGTGAAAGGCCATGGACATCTTGAACTGCCCAGAGGCATCTGCTTGTCACCTTGCTGTAGACTGAAGGCTGGGCTTTATGGAACACATGATGTTCTGATCCGTCCATTCAGATGTGTAGCGGGGAAGTTGATAACGTTGGCCACAGAAGAAGTAAGTTAGCTGCCCGCCCGGCTGCTTTCCGAGAACAGCAAAGCAAAGACAGAAAACAGTTCTCTTCGGTTTCCCAGACCTGCGGAAGGCCTCTGCCTCTCTCTAGCCCCGCGGTTGCAGTCGACTGCATTTCAAGCCGGGGCAAAAGAGGATGGCCTGCGGCTGGCGGGGCATGAAGGGAGAGCCCAGACGGCCGCCGACAGCCAGCCACGTTCGTGACAGACCCCAGCGCCGCGGTGGGAGCGTTGAGCGCTTCCGGCTCCCTATTGGCTAGCCAGGCTGGAGTTCGTCACGAGGGGGGCGCGGCTTCCATCAGCTGTTTTGTGTAATGCCAGGAAGCAAGTGTATTTTGGAAACAATGCCGTGTGGTGCTAGCGGCGGCGCCTGAGGTTGCAGCCCGGGGACTTTCCGGCTCCCGCTCTTTCCGCTGGCCGCTTTTTTTGTTGCCCGGCGCGGATGCAGAGGAGGGTTCTGTTTTTGCGGGGTTGCTGATCACCCCGCCTCGCATGTCCCGGGGCCCGGCTCCGGTCTCTGGGCTACGGCAGGCGTCGCGGACGGGCTGCACAGCACCAACCACAGCTCAGAGTCGCAGCGGGGACTGCGGGTCAGTATGGACTCGGGGAGGGGGGACAGGTTCCGTGTCTTTCGAGTCTCTGTTCTGTGATGCAGCATGGGGAGGGCGAGCCAAGTCCGGGGATCGTCGCTTGTGGGGCGCCTCTTAACCTGGGCTCCGGCGAAAGCTTGGGTTAGCGTAGGGTGCAGCGTGAACTCGCCTGGAGACTTTAGGCTAGGGTGAACAGTACGTTTAAATACATGAAACATCCCCCCCTCACCACCACTTGATGCTTACAGGTTTAGGCTCTCCATGCCCTGTGAGCCATTAGGGGTTAAACTGGAGGAAAGCTCTGGTCCCCTCCCCCAACTTTTGAGCCACCCTATGGTTTTCTACCTTGGGATGACCCCTTGTTCTCGGATCTCGAGTTGCAGCTCGTCTACCATGGTCCTTGCTGCGAAAGAGGTGGCACCATATGGTCATCTGTTGAGCCTGACCTTTAGCTGCACCAGCCTAGCTCCTTGCCAGTTTGGTGTAGTGGTTAAGTGTGCGGACTCTAATCTGGGAGAACTGGGTTTGATTCCCCACTCCTCCACTTGCAGCTGCTGGATGACCTTGGGCAAGCCATAGTTCTGTCAGAGGTGTTCTTGAAAAGGGCAGTTTCTATCAGAGCTCTCTCAGCCCCTCCTACCTCACAGGGTGTCTGTTGTGGGGAGGGGAAGGAAAAGGAGTTTGTAAACTGCTCTGAGACTCTGAGTGAAGGGCGGGGTATAGATCCAATCTCTTCTTCTTGGACATCCAGCCTGGTCATCCAGTGAAGAAGATGCATGAACTTCCCAGGCACCTAATTCTATTGACCTTTTTTTTAAAAAAAGAAACACACTAAACCTAAAACCAATGTTGCCACTTTTGTATTGCAGCACTTCTGTACCTTTAACAGACAGGTATGTGCTGTTGCCGGGGGTGGGTCTGCCATGTAGACAGAAATATTGGATACCCTTTACTAGTAAACTGAGTCTCTTTCTACTTCCACAGAGCAATAGAACTAGGTGTATGCTAAAGGCAGCAATTTTTAACCTGCTGACTTGCATAATAAAGAAGTCATTTGCTTTTGAAGGGCTGACTCGTTCTTTGGAAGAGGTGCGTAAAAGATTTTATATTGGATGCAAGGGTGACCTGTTGAATTTATCAGATGATCTGGTTAACTTTGGAGTGCCTGCTTTGTGGTTTCTGAAGATTTGTTTTGGCACATCCCGGAGCGCTGTGGCATGAACATGGGGAGGTAGGAAAGAGTTAATGGGATTGTGAAGTCCTCAATTTAATCCTGCTTGCTTTGTTTTGGTTAGCTGGCAAGCACGTGTGCTGCACCCCTCCCTCTGTCCTTCCTCATTGATCCATTCCCGAGAGCAGCAAGAGGCTGTAGTGTGTGTCGGATTCTTGTTTTTGTGAGAGAATACAGGAGGTGGATAGAAGAATGTATGCATTGTGTGCCTCCCAACAGGTGTTTCCACACTGAAGGACTGCTCTTGTTTATATTTTCACTTTAGTGATTTTTAAGGTGGTTTGCTAAATTTATTTCCCTTTATCAGGAGGATATAATCATTTACTACAGATATTTCAGGAAGTTTAGAGCCACTTACATGGAGCCAGCAAGCCATTCTCAGAGCCAGGTGCTGGTGGCCAGGCTGAGATTTACTGAGTTAATAGATCATTCTATGGGCCTAGGGTTGCCAGGTCCCCTCCCTAGGGTGGGTAGTGTTGTCAGATCCAAGTTGGGAAACTCCCAGAGATTTGGTGATGTATCCTGGGGAGGAAGGGGACATCAGTGGGGTACAATGCCATAGAGTCCATCTTCCAGAGCATCCATTTTCTCCAGAGGAAGTGATCTCTGTAGTCTGGAGATGAGCTGTAATTCTGGGGGATCCCTAGATCCCACTTGGAGACTGGCATCCCTATTTGGGCCCTGTATTCTAATAATACTTAGTATTTATATAGTGCTTTCAGTGTTCCAATCTCTGCATCGCCTATAACTATGGGAAGAATCTTCCGGTATATATAATTCTATTTTGGTCATGGACTCCCCTGAACATTCCAACACGCTCCAAAATCAGTTCACTCTCTGATCTATCATTCAGAGGGACTCCCTATCCACTGGCTGCTTTGCCTGAGTCCTGCCTCCAACATTCTAAACAGTTTGCTGTTCCCCCACCCCCAACAGCCAGTCAGAACACAGGTCATTTGCATATGTGGCCTGATTCGCCTTTGCCTCGGAACACAGAGGTTGTTTGCATATGCGGCTTCACTGGCCTTTCCCTCTAACATTCTAAACAGTTTGCTGTGGATGTTCTGAGGTAAAATAAATTTCCCCTTAGTGTCTGTTGGGGGAAACCATGGTTGCAAATCTCCAGGTGAGGGCTAAAGATCACTCAGAATTACAACTTTCTAGACCCTTGGAACCCAGAAAACATGGCACTGGAGGAGGTGCTTTTCTACCTTAGCTGTCACTGCATAGCCCCAAATTAACATAAACCAACCTCCAGGCGTCTGCTGGAGATCTCCAAACTGATGTCCAGATGACCAAGATCAGTTCTCCTGGAGACAATGGCTGCTTTGGGCAGTGGATTCTATGGCATTATACCCTACTTGAGGTCCCTCCCCACCTCAAATCCTGCCCTCCGCAGGCTCTACCCCTCAAATCTACAGGTATTTCCCAACCCAGAGTTGGCAACCGTGTAATCAGCTATGTAACTACTTTCCAGACCCTTGTAACCCAGAAAACATGGCACAGGAGGACATGCTTTTCTACCTTAGCTGCCACCGCATAACACCCCCCTCCCCCTCAAAAAATAAGTCAGAGGTGGAGAGAACCATATCTGTTACCATGAGGCTGTCCTCCCATTCCACCCCCTTGGGGCAGCAAAATGACTTGAGACAGCCCTGCCTTATAGCTAAGCAGAAGGAAAGAAACATGGCTTGCCTCCCTCCATTTTCCGCTTCCCTCTGACTCCTCACCAGCCACAGTCGGGACACTCATCTGGAGCTTCCTTCTAGATCTCGTTGTATTTCTTCCCACAACAGGCATTATTCCTAGTATACATTATAATGCTATAATGTATATTCTTCCCATTGTTATAGGAGTCCTGTAAGGTAGACTAGTTTTAACCAAATATTGCAGGTTTTAAATTATTTATTTAAACCCTACTTTTCTCTCCAGTGGAACCCAAAGTGGCTTAGAACATTGGTCTTCCCTCCTCCATTTTATCCTCATAGCAACAACCCTGTGAAATAATTTAAGCCAAGAGTGTGTGACTAGGCAAATTCACCCAGCAAGCTTTCATGGCAGAGATAGATTAACTCAGTGAAGGAAGCCATAGCCCTCAGTTTGCAAGCCGTGAGCAAGGCTGTTAACAATAGGACCAGGCCAACTCTCTAATAATAGGACCAGGCCAACTCTCTAATAATTTTGCACACTGGTGGGGGCGGGGAGTGTGGTGGACAAAGAATAGGTTGCCTAAGGCCTTCTAGTTCATGGTCGATTACAGATTTGAACCCATGACTTCCTGGTGTGTTATAGCACTTGTGTTATATGTTTGTTGTACTTCAGAAACTTGCTTTTAAGGATTTGCTTTCATTCTGAAAGCATGTTCCTTTCAACAATGTATTTATTTACATCGTATCCTACCTCCAGGGCAGTGTATTATTGGGCAGAACATGTAGTCACAATAGGAATACCATCATGTTTGCATATCAAGTTAAATCCTGTAACACTGAAGACATAGATGTCTTCAATATTTTGTTATCACGAGTATATTAATTGTGGACAAATTAATCACATTCAAACAATAAACATATCCTTGAAAATATTTTACCTTATCTATCATTCTATAATGCTATAGACCAGGGCTATTTTTGGGCAGGAACGCACAGGAACGGAGTTCCGGCTGGCTCCCAAGTTGGCCACGCCCAGCAGGAACTCATTAGCATAATAGGCCACACCCAACAGCAGAAACTCATTAGGATTGGCTACATTAGGGGTGTGTGGCCTAACATGCAAAGGAGTTCCTGCTACAAAAAAGCCCTGGGTTTTGACAACAAACAAGGTAAACAGAATAACAAGCAAAAGGTGGGTGTGGCTGGATAACCACACTTCTGGTAACATGGGGGTGCAGCCTAATGTGCTAATGAGCTGTGCTGTCAGGGGTGTGGACCAATATGCTAATGAGTTCCTGCTGTTGGGTGTGGCCTATTATGCTAATGAGTTCCTGCTGGGCTTTTTCTACAAAAAGAGCCCTGCATAGACTATTTTATATATATGTGTGTGTGTGTGTGTTTCAATATATATATATATATATACACACACACACACTTCAAACAAGTAGAACCTTGTTTTTTAAAAGTATTTCATTAATCCCAAAAGAGAAAATATTTCATAGGGTTTTTCCAGTGCTCTCCAAAATATCTAAATGTTCTGTTAGAAAGTCTGAAAAAGTATTTGGGGATAGGGAAAAACCCCCCCCCCCCCAGCCTTTGCCTCCCTGCTCAGTGGTAGAACACATGCTTCCCTTGAGGGGCTCTCTACCCAGCACACTTAAATGATCTCAGAAAACCCTGCTTGATGGCCATCATTGGTCAAAGTAGGCAGTACTGATCTAGGGGGCCTGACTTGATATAAGACCACTTTGTGTGTTCATCTGACAGTCGTCCTAGAGTCATAAACTCAGGACCTGAATACCTGGTCTTGCTGAACAGGGCCTCAGCTGTGCTCTCCCTTATCCCTCCCCCAGCATTCAGCATTCATCCTCTTCCCATTTACCGTACCATCCCAGCTGCAACTGAGAGAGGCAGCAATGATGAATAGTCGAAGGTAAGGGATGCTGAGCCCAGGACATCCTCCCACATCCCTCTGGGTCTCACTTTTAGCATTGGTACCAGACTCTGTATTTTATTTGTACACCAAGACTAAAGGGCATCTTCTCTGCCTTCATTCTGGTTGATGTTTCTTCCTTTGCCTTGTTGTCTCTGAACCATTTTCACCCCCTGCCCTTTTTCTA